CACACACACACTCTCACAGATGTTCATAGACATGTACCTCTCAACCAGCGAGGAGTCTGATTTGGTGAGTCCCAAATATCTTAAGTTTTTTTGTCATTCTTTGCGATGTTCGACATCCATTTTCTGCTCTTTTAAACAATGCTGGGCTCCTTTCTGGAAGTTTCTAAGCTAGGATTTTGTGGGTGGGGAAAAACACATTTCCTGAAAGTTTCCTGAACTTTTTTTCCCCCCACAGTCTTGCATTGATGTGTGAGTGTGTTAGAGACTGTAAAAGTGTCTTCCCTACATATGTGATGTGTTTACACTGATTATGGAATAAACACAGCTTTTAGACATACAGAACTTTAGGTTTCTAAACTACTATCTGCAAGTTTTTGGCATCATAAAACTCAAGGACTATTTCATGGGAAATCCTATAAGGCTTCTGTAATGTTTAGATCACTTCCGTACGTTCTCTTTCTTTGTTAAGATTATTTTAATGCGTAACAGAGACTCATACGTGTTTCCTCCTGGGTTCGTCATGAGGCTATAAATAAAAATACAGTACTGAAAGTTTTAGTTTTCAAGTTTACAATTAATATATTAGAAAATAAAATGAAGATTTTAGAAGTTGTATTATTTACAGATTTTTTTTTATAAAGAAAATATAAATGAATATCTGCTTGATTAGCAAAGTACTTTGATGAAAATGTGATGCATCCACCTTTTTTTGCATTTAGCATGTGTTTTTCTTGATTGATGGACCCAAATAATTCTGGGTAAATATTTTTTTTCCAGAGATAGTCGTCTTCAGGACAAATAGCTCTCTATATATATAATAAATGAACAAAAAAAACCCCAAAGATAAATGAGAAAGAGAAAGACACAGATAACTTAAACTACTAATTACAACCTACTCTTAAATGCAAGCAAATCACTTAAATAAATGACTAAAAGTAAGAGCACATAGTGACATTTTCCTGTGCGTGAAAATCTGTGTGATTTAGTCGATGTGTAATTATCCATATTGATGTCTTGTGTTCTACTTTAAAATGACAGGGTGGAACATGATCGAATGCATCAGAGTGAATTTCTGTGTTTGTGTGAGTGTGTTTTCATGATCTCTTTGACCTCTCCGAAAGAAAATCTGTGCTAAATAGCTTGAGGAGCACAGCTGTGACATGTTGACTCTATGTGAGTGTGTCTGTGTGTACCTGGTATTTATCACATTATGGGGACCAAATGTCCAGGTCAAAATGTACTAGTATTACTATCCTTGTGGGGACATTTGGTCCCCATAACATGATAAATACCAGGTGTCTCTGATTAGGGCTGTAAAATTTTTTTTAATTTCAAATATTCGTCGAATTTAAAATAAAAATACACATTCGAATGCAACATTTTTGGTGTACGTCAGGCAGCCTTATCAGTGGCACACAAGATGCGACGACGATGTAAGTGTCGTTGCATTTTAATGTTTTGCTTAGCCTTTCCAGTTGAACCCACTGGATGCGGCGCTGCTACGTTGCTCCTTCAAAATATTGCAGAAAAAGAGAACATCAATGCGGAGAAGATATTTTTTACGTCAAAACTGAAACCAAGAGGTTTCATCTATCATCTAAGAGGGACATGTATCACCTTTGCACTCGCGTCTCGCACAAGAGAGCCGCATGTTTAGAAAGCCATGTAAAATTAATGTAAGTTGAACTTTTAAAAAACATGACTCGAGACTTTATGGCGCTTTTTTCGCCATCCCACTGCATCTCATGTTTTTAAGTGAAAAAGTACTCTTTGTGATTGGTTTTCGGTCCTTTGTGTTAAACTATACATGCATACATGATGCTGTTTTGTTTCTAATTGTTTAAGCAACCTAATTAATTATATATATGGTTTATAAACATAAATTGAAACACTATGCACTTTTTTTTACAAAGATAGTCATGTTATTTTATTGCTTTGAAGAAACGTGCATTAGTAATATTTTGCTCGATGCGCCCTCTTGTGGCCTCAGGAGAGAAGCCAAAACTGTTTTTCCCCCTAACTGAAATTATGTCTTGTATATTCGAATATAATTCGAATGTATTTTTCAGCCATTTTGACAGCCCTATCTTTGATTAAATGACGGAACATCACAGTGAGATTTCTTTGATTAGATGCAAGCTAGTTCGTAGAGATGAATTGTGTTGTTTTAAAATCCACAAGGTCTGACACTGAGTCAGTGCAGGGCAGCCGATTGGAAACTTCACAATGTTACTGAGTTTTCGGAGGTCAAAAGTTCACCCTTAATCCTCCACTTACCTGTTGTTAAGTTTGCTATACAGTATGTATAGACTGATATAAATCCACTGAAGATCAGTTAATTATTTAACAGATTTAAAAATAGTGTTAGCTCTGCAAGTTTTAAAGGTCTTGCACTCAATAAACAACCTGCGTTCAAATCAGATTTATAACTAAGGGCTTATAAGAGTGAAATCATAGAATAGAGAGAATCTGTGTTGTTTACAATTCACAAGTGTTTAACAGTTCCTGGGTAACCACACAACCCTTGTGAAATAGAAGTACATGTTAAGAGATAACCTTTTATGGAAATAATATACTTTAATAGAATATAATTAAGTGTGATCTGAATGAAATGTTTGGGCACTTAGTTAAATGTTAATTGCAATTTAATGAAAATGTATTATAGTTTAAATTTATATTAAATGCAATTATCTTAACGTTAGAGTGTTTTTGAGCCACTTAAGTAGGACTTAAGTACACCTTGATATGTAATGTAATAATTCGATGAATTAAAATATGGTTAAAGTGCTGCCGAATGGACTGACAAGCATTTACTGTATAGTGAACAATATACTTTAATGTAATTTCTATAGACATTGAAATATCATGTATTTAAACATTAAGTTGCATTTTAGTACATTTACAATATGTGACCCTGGACCACAAAACCAGTCATAAGGGTCAATTTTTTTAGATTTATACATCTGAAAGCTGAATAAATAAGCTTTCCATTGACGTAAGGTTTGTTAGGATAGGACAATATTTGTACGAGATACAACTATTTGAAAATCTGGAATCTGAGGGTGCAAAAAAATCTAAATATTGAGAAAATCTCCTTTAAAGTTGTCCAAATGAAGTTCTTATCAATGCATATTACTAATCAAAAATTAAGTTTTGATATATTTACGGTAGGAAATTTACAAAATATCTTCATGGATCATGATCTTTACTTAATATTCTAATGATTTTTGGCATAAAAAAATAATGTATTGTTGGCTATTGCTACAAATACACCCATGCATGCTACGTATGACTGGTTTTGTGCTCCAGGGTCACATATATAAAATTTTAATGCAATATCAAATAACAACATGACTGCTTTGGTATATTAGTCAACACATCAATATAAGTGTACTTCTTTAAGGCAAAACAAAAGATGATTAGAACATGATTTAAAATTAAAGTAAAACTTTTAAATTTGACATTATTACAAAGCGCACTTTTTAAAAGTGTACTTAAGTGAGTTAAGAAGCAGTCATGAAAGTGTCTCTCTTTGGGTCAATTCAATGGCCTTTTATTTTACTACTATTATATTATATGCAAGTACAGTTTTTTAAAATATACTTTCAAGATTCGAAGTGCACTACAAGTGCACATTCAAAACAATTAAGTGCGCTTCTTTTTTTCACAAGAATACACGTGCACATTTTGTAGAAACAGATACACACACACACACACACACACACACACACACACAAGTAGACATGCAGCAACATTAAGTTTTGATATATTTACAGTAGGAAATTTACAAAATATCTTCATGGATCATGATCTTTACTTAATATTCTAATGATTTTTGGCATAAAAAAATAATGTATTGTTGGCTATTGCTACAAATACACCCATGCATGCTACGTATGACTGGTTTTGTGCTCCAGGGTCACATATATAAAATTTTAATGCAATATCAAATAACAACATGACTGCTTTGGTATATTAGTCAACACATCAATATAAGTGTACTTCTTTAAGGCAAAACAAAAGATGATTAGAACATGATTTAAAATTAAAGTAAAACTTTTAAATTTGACATTATTACAAAGCGCACTTTTTAAAAGTGTACTTAAGTGAGTTAAGAAGCAGTCATGAAAGTGTCTCTCTTTGGGTCAATTCAATGGCCTTTTATTTTACTACTATTATATTATATGCAAGTACAGTTTTTTTAAATATACTTTCAAGATTCGAAGTGCACTACAAGTGCACATTCAAAACAATTAAGTGCGCTTCTTTTTTTCACAAGAATACACGTGCACATTTTGTAGAAACAGATACACACACACACACACACACACACACACACAAGTAGACATGCAGCGGGATTAATAACAGAAGACGACACACAGATGGAGTGTCTGTGAAGAGCAACGCAGAGGCAGAGAGCGAGGAGGATGGGAGGGGAGGGAAGATAAAGTGAATGCAAAACAGAGGACATACTGGAGAGACGGGAAGACTGTAGAGCGTACAGAAGCCTGGATGCCTGAGGAACACTATTGGACATACAGAATACGGAAAGGACAACGTATAAAAGAAGAACTGGCAGTTAGAGGTGCAGATCACTGCAGCAGAGGTGCTTGCATCTTTCGCATCGGTGCACCAGGCTCTAGGGAGCGGGGAAGGGCTCTTCATAGAGGAGCATGGCAGCCTGGTTTGCTGGTGTTGCTGCGGCGGGATGGACTGAGTCTCATTCATTATTCTAGAAGAAAACACACCGCCACTGTCTACACAGGCCGTAGCAGCTCTCATCATCCACTATGCGCAGGGATCGAGAGCAAGCACATGGGATTGCGTGCCATCGTCAACAACACAGCAGCACTCTACGTTCCCACAGCAGCAGCACATCTAGCATTGATAACATTAGCCCGGGCAACAGCCGAGATATTAGGTAGCACTTCATGTAGCTTAAATTGCAGTTTTAGTGAAAGCAAAACAAAAGACAGATCAGATTTTATTTTATTTTTTACTTGCCTATAATTGCATTTTTGATACCTGTGGCTCTCAGGTTTATGTATAATGTTTGCGTATCATTTGGTAGATGGTGGGCGGTATATACAGTAGTTGTTGTTAGAGTTTACTGAAGTTTGTGGTTGGTATGGTGAGGAGAGCAAATGCTCTAACTGGATTGGCTGATGAAGGCCTCCTGGATACGACTGCTGAAACGAGCAACAGGGAACCGAGTCAAGAACAACATTGGTGTAAGAAACTCTTAATATACACTATTTACGTGTGCAAGCGAATGGAAATTGCTAGTATGTTGCTGAGTATCTTAACTTTTGATTTAATCTTTATATGTCCTTGAATGATTAATATTAAATGCACATTTCACTTGTGACCTTGTTTGACATTAGGTGACCGTGATTTCATGTAAACATCAACAGTGTCTATCAAGTATGTTCAGGTTTAATTTCTAAATATTTTCTTGAATCTCTCTATAGCCTTTCATATACAGGAAACTACATACAAAGATGCATTCATTTTAGTGCATTTATGTGTTATTATTACTAACAAGAAGTGCACTTAATGTGTGCACTTTTAGTGTACTTCAAATCTTTAAAAAAAACTGTAATTGCAGATAATACGAAATATTGAAATTAAAGGTCACTTAAGTGACTTAAAGTGAGACACTTGACTGTTTCACACTTAAGTATACTTTTAAAAAGTGCACTTAAGAATAAAGTCAAAATTAAAAGTTGTGCTTTAAAGTAGATTTTAAATCATTACTTTTTTTATCAGTTTGTCATGCTTTAAAGAAGTACACTTATTTTTATGTGTTGACTGACATACTAAAGCACATGTAAAGTTTTGATTTTAATTTTATGTTATTCAATATTACATTTAAAGTTAATATATTTTAAAAGTACTGAATTGCAACTTCACTATTACAAATCACAAATATATTTAAATATATGACATAAATATATGACATACACGTTTCACTAGAAATGAAGTGTTCGGAAAACATATTCCGTTTGCACTTAAGTATATATATATATATTTTTTTAATTTTGTGATAAGTACCCATTTTTAAAGTATGTTAAAGAGCTTTTTATGGGAAATTGTGAATAGTTGTAATTTTTTTTTAATCAACCCCCAAAAATGCAGCAGTTAGGCTGTGTGTGTCCAGATATTATAACGTTTAAATTAAATTTAAATCCTATTTTAGTTGTAGAATGTCTTGTATGTGTGTGCTGTAATTGGTCAGGTGCTAGAAGGTGATTTATTTTGGACAATCAATCCTTTTCCATCCCAACCAGTACCAGTGGTTTTGGACTTTAGCTATACCTAAGTCCCTTTCATCTCATTTTATATCTAAATTTTCTTTTGGAGTGAATAGGAAGTGTCCCACCTGCCCCTACAGCAGGGGTGCCCACACTCGGTCCTGGAGGGCCGCTGTCCTGAAGAGTTTAGCTCCAACCCCAATCAAACACACCTGAAGCAGCTAATCAAGCTCTTACTAGTCATACTAGAAACTTCCAGGCAGGTGTGTTGAGGCAAGCTGGAGCTAAACTCTGCACGACACCGGCCCTCCAGGACCGAGTTTGGGCACCCCTGCTGTAGAGGCAGATGGGGCACTTCCCATTCACTCCAAAAGGACAAGGAAAATCCAAAATAACGTTTCTATGATTGATTTTCCAGAAGAGGAAAAAATGTGGAGAGATTGATTATGCTAGTCACTCCCTCAGCCGTTGTGTGAGAAACACGCTAGCTCTCTGAAATGAAATGCCAAGTTAATTTAAAGGCACAGTCACCTAAAAATTAAAATGATCTTCATTTACTAGCCCTCATCATTTCTTTCCAAACCTGTATGACTTTAAGTCTTTTTAAAATATTTTGAAAGATATTTTGAAAAATGTTTGGTTACACTTTATTTCGATAGTCCACTTTAGACATTCTACTAACTATACGTAACTTTGTAACTACATGTCAACTACATGTCAACTAATTCTCATTAATTTGCAACTACATGTCTACTAACTCTCAGAGTAGACTGTTAGGGTAGGTTTAGGGTTAGTAGAATAAGCTGACAAAGAAATAGTTAGAAGATATTAAGCAGACAGTCTACTAATACTCTACTAACTGCTAGTTGACATGTAGTTGCAAAGTGTTAATAGAATGTCTAAAGTGGACTATCGAAATGTTTTAGTAGTGATGTTTTTTTTTGTCACACATGACTTTAGTTTGGAGTATTAACTAATGAATAACTACAACCTTTTAGGTATGGGGTGGATTAGGGGATCTAAAATATGGTCCTGCAGAATAAGGCATTAATATGTGCTTTATAAGTAGGCCTACTAATAAACAGCCAATATGCTAGTAATGTGCATGATAATAAGTAACTAGTTAATAGTGAGAATTTGTCCCTAAACTAATTTGTTTCCATTTTTCATACAATGTAAGTCAATAATAACCAAAACTTGTTACCTTTTTACAAAATGTTGTGAATCAAGTTGTAAATGGCTTATACTCTGTCTGCTTATTGATATACAGGTAGGAGAACCTATTCTGCCATGAACAAATTACACACACCAACTTTAAGTAGAGTAGCTGTATATTTATCCTGAGCAAATGAGTAAACGTCATGGTTTTAAAATCAAGGAAGACAATCAAATAAAAACAATGTGTCATAATCCATGTAATTAATGAAATAAATGCACACACAGAAACATAAATGTGTACATAAAAAAATGCTTTTTCCACAGGGTTCAGCGGACTCATACACTAGTCGGCCGTCTGACTCGGATGTGTCTCTGGAGGAAGATAAAGAGACCTTACGCAGAGAAGCTGAGAGACAGGCTCAGGCTCAGCTCAAAAAGGCTGAGGTATTGCTGCATGTTTTACTCACTATAACTGAGTGTCTGATTAATTGTCAGTTTGACAAGGGCTTGCTCGAATCAGTTCGTCTGTCTAATAGTGTGTATCCGTTCAAAATAGCATACTTCCGTACTATATATCGGCCGATATTTTTTCTTTTTGAACGATAAGTATTCTGACAGCAAAGGGACTTTTATTATGACAGCGCAAAGAATCACAGCGCACAGATGCGAGCGTTTAAATTCTATGTTGCGATGTAAGACTATGTTGCTTTTTATTTTGTCACTGTTATATTCATGTGTCATACGTGTAGGCTATTTTGTTTGAGAAAATATAGTTTAGAGTGCTCACAATCTTACCAGGTTACTGAGTGCTCTGTTGGTCAGTGTTTAGGCTACTGATTCGTGTTTTTAACTATTTATTTTTTTGTGAAAAATACTATAATAGGATTACAGAATCAAATCTTTTTATTTTATAGATATGTTTATTATATAGGTATATTGCATTATTATTATTTATCAAGTTCTGTTTTTTTTCATATTGATTAATTTCACAATTAATTATTTCTCATTTAGTAAATAGGCTTATGTAAAATAAATTACAATTTCATTTTTGCAATTTTTATTGCAATTGCTATGCATGTTATTTACAAACCCAATTCCAAAAAAGTTGGGACACTGTACAAATTGTAATTTATACTGTAATTTATATTGTAATAATTTACAAATCTCATAAACTTATATTTTATTCACAATAGAATATACTAATTTCATATCAATATCGGCATCAGCCATCCAAAAATCTATAAAGTATGCATTGTATACTGTGCACAGTTTGTACATTTTCTGTATGCATGGAATACATTGGACCATATATATATTTTTTTAACATTAGCCAAAATATGCAGTATACAAACTGCAAAAAATATATCCCTCAGTACAATGCAACTGACTTTCCATTCCCACTGTTACAAAATAATTTTTTACACAATTTTTGTAAAGGTTTTATCTGAAATGGATAACTGTTTTTTTTTTTTTGAGGAACCAAATGAGTTTGTGTGACAGTGTAGCATTTTACTGTTAGAAACATTTACATGTTACGGTATAAACAGTGCTTCGAGGTCTGGTTTGTTATTTTTTAAGATTTATTGTGTGTGTGTGTGAGAGAGCGTGTGTGAGTGTGTGTGTGTGCACCTGTTTTTCAATTCTGGTGGGGACTTAAACCTGAATACACATACACACAGACTCATGGGGACTCATGTCATGGTGGGGACCTAAATTGAGGTCCCCATGGGTAAACAAGCTAATAAATCACACAGAATGGAGTGTATTGAAAATCTGAAATAGCACAAAGTCTGTGCGTGTGTGTGTGTGTATCAGTATAACCAGCTCCAGTTTGTCATGACTGGTTATAATCATAACTATAAAGTCTAGCAGGTGATTATCCTGTGACTGGTATGAATAGATTTCTGGTGTTTGGGAGAATACAATCTTTCTCTCTTTTTTCTTCTTTAAAATATCATTGTAATACTCAATACAAAGCCTCATGGGACTGTTATTCTTGCTTTATAAATCATGCACCGAATTACTAAAATATAAGACACAGCACCTTCAGTGTGATCTTATTTTAAGGCTTAATTTATAGCTGAATGCTTTTTAGACGCTTTCTTTCAAAGGCAAATCAATGCTGTTTGGAGGTGATATATGAAATTGCACCCCGTTAGTCTTTCCCATCTATTTTTATTCTTCTATTTAATCTTGTTTTTGTCACACTCTCCTTCACCTCTAGGGGTGATAGCTATTTTTAGAGTTTGACATCAATCAGATTCATCATCATAAATATTGATAACAAAGCCAGATGGCCTGCAGTGAGCAGACAGAAGTCAAATATTCTTCACTGACCATGTTTCTAGAAATATCCACAACTATTCTCTCTCTCTCTCTCTCACACACACATACACACACACTGTGTTATCTTAAAGACTTATTTCTGCCTGATTTAACATATAAAATATAGTTTTGTTGGTATAAATGTATGTATACTGTATAGCTTGGTTCGGTAAAACCATTTTTAGGTTACCATGTTTTGCAGTGGTTTCACAAACCACTCTTGAAAGTGCCTTAAAGAAATAGTTCACCAAAAACAAAACAAAATCAGCACAATATATTCAAAGTCTTCATAAGGACTAAGAATAGAGACAAATGAGACATAATAAACATTAGAGCTGTAAAATTAATGTGGACAGCATAAAGTAAAACCAAAATAATCATGAGATTGCAAAACGTAATGTGCATTATGTAAATGTTTTTTAGTTTTACATATATAAATGTAAATGTTCACTACTCTGTAAGATGTAAATCAATATTTTATTCATCAAGGATGCATTAAGCTGATCAAAAGTGCCAGTAAAACATTTATAATCCCACAAAATATTCAAATAGATGCAGTTCTTTTGAACTTTCTATTCATCTGTGAATCCTGAAAGATCAAATGCATCTCAGTTTCCACAAAAATATTGTGCAGCACGACTGTTTTCAACACGGATAATAATCAGAAATGTGTCTCGAGCAGCAAATCAGCATATTATACTGATTTCTGAAGATCATGTGACACTGAAGACTGGAGTAATGATGCTGAAAATACAGCTGCGCATCACAGAAATAAATTACAGTTTAAAATATATATAAATAGAAAACAGTTCTTTTAAATTATAATAATATTTTCACAATACTACTGTTTTTACTGTATTTTTTTTATCAAATAAATGAAGCCCCTGTGAACATAAAAGACATCAGAAACATAAAAATATGTAAATTATTTCAAGCTTTTGACTGTGTATAATGAAAAATGTTTCCGTTTTGCTTTCCTATGTGTGTAGGAATGAAATAATTTCACTCAACCAAAAACAACCTGAATCCGTGTGAAGATTCAGCGTAAACACTCATGCACTCAAGTAAAGCAAACGAGCTGTCAGATCAGATGTGTGTGTTTCTGCTGAATGTGAATGAAACTGTAGATCAGTCTGAACAGACATTTACACAAAGGGTTACAATCACTATGTCTGATCAATACGGCATGCGTTATGGAAAGTGGGGTTACATAAGAGGCAGACAGTGGCTGTGAAAACAAAACAAGGGGTTCAAAGCTGGCTCCTATAATAAATGTTGCATAGTATTACAACAATACAGTGCATAGTTTTGCATATCTTTGTATTCGATTAGAAAATATAAAGATGACAGACTGAGATAAAGAAAGGGAAGATAAAGCAGCATTGTCTTGACAGATCATGGAGAGTCAGGTTTGCGTGTGATCAACCCACCATCCCCATTACCTTTAGAGGACACTGTGTCCTCTGTTTCGACACACCCATAATTCATTGCGTGTGCAGCCCATCATGTGGATGTGGAGTCCATACTGATTTTGCCCTTGTGTGTCAAACGCTCATGTTCCTGCTTTTGTGTATTCCTGAAAACACTGAAACATTTGTAGATAATAATTTACTCTTAATAATTGACTACTTATTTTCCATAGAACACAAAATTAGAATTTTTTTTTTTTAATTATACCCTGGCAGTTTTATTTTCTTTTAGATAATGAAAGTGGATGAAATGGGTCTGTCAAGGTTTTTTCCAATGGGAATATGGAAGAAAATGAACAGAATAACCCCCATATATTTCTCCAGTTGACTGATTACATTAAGAATTGCAAATATTTTTTTAATATTACAAGTTTTTTGGGATGCTATGTTTAAGTATGCAAATAAGGAATTATCTAATTAACTATGTAATGATTTAAACATAAATCTGAACACTGGATAAAGCCAGGTTTAAAATTATTTTTTCATTTTGTTGACATATAAGAGCTAATTATTTTTATTTTTTTGTATTTTATAAAATCAGAAAATACTGTCAACCTAAAGAAAAAAAGACCATGTTTTTAGGAATGAAAGGTTGTGTAAAATCAGGCAAATGATGAACAAAACCCTCTATAGAATATAAATAGAAATAAAACTGCTAAGTTTGGTGTATTTAAGTGCTGCTGAAGTGCAGAGAAAACAGCCTGGAAAAATATGTTTAGTCATTGAAATCCACAGACATAAATAGATAATATGCAATACTTGAAAGTGTATTTTGGGTGTTTTCTTTCACTAGTCATGAAAAAAAGCTATGTTTTTTTCTGTAGTGTCTTGCATTAAAGGACAAGAAAGCAACATAAAAGTCAGAGCTTGTAAATCTGCTGAACACAAACAATGATTTTGTCTGAAGAAATTATGTTTTGCCTGCATAATTCTGAGATTTTTGATTTTATAAAAAAAAAAAAGTTTTTAAAAAAAGTTACAAATAATAAAACAATAATTAAAACATTGAACCCTATTGTGTGGACACTGATGGATTTTTTCAAAATCTCTTCTTTTGTGTTCCACAGGTTTGAAATGCATGAGAGTTGTTGTTGAAATCTCTCTCTTTCTCTGCTATTTGCTCATATTTCATACTGTACTCGCTCTTTGTTCTTCTACACAGTCTAAACCAGTGGCGTTTGCAGTACGTACTAATGTTGGCTACAGCGCTTCTCTTGAAGACGACGTCCCTGTGCCTGAAATGGGAATCTCATTTGAGGCTAAAGATTTCCTTCATGTTAAAGAAGTATGTATTTAAACATGTATCCAAATTCACATGTAGTATACAGATTATAACAGTTGAGTAAAGTGTATACTTTTGTCCATATCACAACAAACACAACACACTAAAAATACATCACGCATTACAGATTCTTTAACTAAAACAGACTTGCACACATATATAACAAGGCCTTGAAATACAGTTTATGACAAAGTATATCTGCAAATTTCAAATAACCCAGATTAATTTTTCAATTACAGTTTTTACATTTTTAGTACTTAATATATTTAAGATTGTGTTTGGCCTTGAATTTTTGCTTTGTCAGGTTCTGTGGGAAGATAAATATGCACCATGGGTGACTTCTGTGTGTTTAATGACAGAAATTTAATAATGACTGGTGGATTGGTCGCTTGGTGAAAGAAGGGTGTGACATCGGTTTCATCCCAAGTCCGCTGAAGCTTGAAAGCATTCGCATCCACCAGGAGCAACGTGTAAAACAAGGAAAATTTTACTCAAGGTATATGTTCCACTAACACGCAGCGCATAGTTCTTCACTAAACAAAATATTACAGAAAAAAAACACAGCTTTAATGTGGCCACTTTTAACAAAACTAGACTGTTTCGCAAAAGCATCCCTTGTGAAAAGTGTGCTTAATTCAGTTAATTGAATTGAATTAATTGTATTGAATGTGTGCTTGTAGTGTATTTCAAATCTTAAAAGTGTATATTTTAAAATCTCTACTTGCACATAAAAATATGAATGAAATAAAAGGCCACTTAAGTGAAGAAACTTTCATGACTGTTTCTAAAGACTTAAGCACACTTTTAAAAAGTGCAATTTGTAATTCCAAATCAAAAGTTTATTTTAAATGTCATATTTTAAAGACAAATAATAATACAAAGATGTACTTAGGTCCTACTTAAATGGGTCAAAAAGCACTCTAAAGTTCATTTAATTGTCATTAACATGCAATTAAGTGTAAAAACATTACTTTTAGTTCACACTTAAGTATATTCTTTTAAAGTATATGATTTCCATACTCTTTAAAAGTTCTTTTTTCACAAGAGATCTGAAGCCTAAGTAGATTGTAGAGACGATTGGTGCCAATGTTTTCTACAATGTGCTTAGGCTTACAATGTAATGATGCTGAAAATACAGCTGCGCATCACAGAAATAAATTACAGTTTAAAATATATATAAATAGAAAACAGTTCTTTTAAATTATAATAATATTTTCACAATACTACTGTTTTTACTGTATTTTTTTATCAAATAAATGAAGCCCCTGTGAACATAAAAGACATCAGAAACATAAAAATATGTAAATTATTTCAAGCTTTTGACTGTGTATAATGAAAATGTTTCCGTTTTGCTTTCCTATGTGTGTAGGAATGAAATAATTTCACTCAACCAAAAACAACCTGAATCCGTGTGAAGATTCAGCGTAAACACTCATGCACTCAAGTAAAGCAAACGAGCTGTCAGATCAGATGTGTGTGTTTCTGCTGAATGTGAATGAAACTGTAGATCAGTCTGAACAGACATTTACACAAAGGGTTACAATCACTATGTCTGATCAATACGGCATGCGTTATGGAAAGTGGGGTTACATAAGAGGCAGACAGTGGCTGTGAAAACAAAACAAGGGGTTCAAAGCTGGCTCCTATAATAAATGTTGCATAGTATTACAACAATACAGTGCATAGTTTTGCATATCTTTGTATTCGATTAGAAAATATAAAGATGACAGACTGAGATAAAGAAAGGGAAGATAAAGCAGCATTGTCTTGACAGATCATGGAGAGTCAGGTTTGCGTGTGATCAACCCACCATCCCCATTACCTTTAGAGGACACTGTGTCCTCTGTTTCGACACACCCATAATTCATTGCGTGTGCAGCCCATCATGTGGATGTGGAGTCCATACTGATTTTGCCCTTGTGTGTCAAACGCTCATGTTCCTGCTTTTGTGTATTCCTGAAAACACTGAAACATTTGTAGATAATAATTTACTCTTAATAATTGACTACTTATTTTCCATAGAACACAAAATTAGAATTTTTTTTTTTTAATTATACCCTGGCAGTTTTATTTTCTTTTAGATAATGAAAGTGGATGAAATGGGTCTGTCAAGGTTTTTTCCAATGGGAATATGGAAGAAAATGAACAGAATAACCCCCATATATTTCTCCAGTTGACTGATTACATTAAGAATTGCAAATATTTTTTTAATATTACAAGTTTTTTGGGATGCTATGTTTAAGTATGCAAATAAGGAATTATCTAATTAACTATGTAATGATTTAAACATAAATCTGAACACTGGATAAAGCCAGGTTTAAAATTATTTTTTCATTTTGTTGACATATAAGAGCTAATTATTTTTATTTTTTTGTATTTTATAAAATCAGAAAATACTGTCAACCTAAAGAAAAAAAGACCATGTTTTTAGGAATGAAAGGTTGTGTAAAATCAGGCAAATGATGAACAAAACCCTCTATAGAATATAAATAGAAATAAAACTGCTAAGTTTGGTGTATTTAAGTGCTGCTGAAGTGCAGAGAAAACAGCCTGGAAAAATATGTTTAGTCATTGAAATCCACAGACATAAATAGATAATATGCAATACTTGAAAGTGTATTTTGGGTGTTTTCTTTCACTAGTCATGAAAAAAAGCTATGTTTTTTTCTGTAGTGTCTTGCATTAAAGGACAAGAAAGCAACATAAAAGTCAGAGCTTGTAAATCTGCTGAACACAAACAATGATTTTGTCTGAAGAAATTATGTTTTGCCTGCATAATTCTGAGATTTTTGATTTTATAAAAAAAAAAAAGTTTTTAAAAAAAGTTACAAATAATAAAACAATAATTAAAACATTGAACCCTATTGTGTGGACACTGATGGATTTTTTCAAAATATCTTCTTTTGTGTTCCACAGGTTTGAAATGCATGAGAGTTGTTGTTGAAATCTCTCTCTTTCTCTGCTATTTGCTCATATTTCATACTGTACTCGCTCTTTGTTCTTCTACACAGTCTAAACCAGTGGCGTTTGCAGTACGTACTAATGTTGGCTACAGCGCTTCTCTTGAAGACGACGTCCCTGTGCCTGAAATGGGAATCTCATTTGAGGCTAAAGATTTCCTTCATGTTAAAGAAGTATGTATTTAAACATGTATCCAAATTCACATGTAGTATACAGATTATAACAGTTGAGTAAAGTGTATACTTTTGTCCATATCACAACAAACACAACACACTAAAAATACATCACGCATTACAGATTCTTTAACTAAAACAGACTTGCACACATATATAACAAGGCCTTGAAATACAGTTTATGACAAAGTATATCTGCAAATTTCAAATAACCCAGATTAATTTTTCAATGACAGTTTTTACATTTTTAGTACTTAATATATTTAAGATTGTGTTTGGCCTTGAATTTTTGCTTTGTCAGGTTCTGTGGGAAGATAAATATGCACCATGGGTGACTTCTGTGTGTTTAATGACAGAAATTTAATAATGACTGGTGGATTGGTCGCTTGGTGAAAGAAGGGTGTGACATCGGTTTCATCCCAAGTCCGCTGAAGCTTGAAAGCATTCGCATCCACCAGGAGCAACGTGTAAAACAAGGAAAATTTTACTCAAGGTATATGTTCCACTAACACGCAGCGCATAGTTCTTCACTAAACAAAATATTACAGAAAAAAAACACAGCTTTAATGTGGCCACTTTTAACAAAACTAGACTGTTTCGCAAAAGCATCCCTTGTGAAAAGTGTGCTTAATTCAGTTAATTGAATTGAATTAATTGTATTGAATGTGTGCTTGTAGTGTATTTCAAATCTTAAAAGTGTATATTTTAAAATCTCTACTTGCACATAAAAATATGAATGAAATAAAAGGCCACTTAAGTGAAGAAACTTTCATGACTGTTTCTAAAGACTTAAGCACACTTTTAAAAAGTGCAATTTGTAATTCCAAATCAAAAGTTTATTTTAAATGTCATATTTTAAAGACAAATAATAATACAAAGATGTACTTAGGTCCTACTTAAATGGGTCAAAAAGCACTCTAAAGTTCATTTAATTGTCATTAACATGCAATTAAGTGTAAAAACATTACTTTTAGTTCACACTTAAGTATATTCTTTTAAAGTATATGATTTCCATACTCTTTAAAAGTTCTTTTTTCACAAGAGATCTGAAGCCTAAGTAGATTGTAGAGACGATTGGTGCCAATGTTTTCTACAATGTGCTTAGGCTTACAATGCTTTTAAACTGAACGTTTGCTATGGCCTGCTGAAAATAAAGAGCTTGAAATGGTTTCAATGGCTTTAACTGCTCAACCCACTGAATCCGCTCAGGTCGCCAAGGCTGTTTTTTCTTCAGAAATAATTTAAAGAAATTTTTAGAAATTTTAAATACATAGAAGAAAACTAAACCCATTACACCTTTCTTTTTTGTTAAGGATTCTATGTTGTTCTTTTGTTTTACAGTAAACTAGGGGCAAACTCTTCATCCAGTTTAGGAGACATTGTTTCAAACTCACGTAAATCAACCCCTCCATCCTCAGGTATGTTATCGACATTGGGTTGTCACTTTAAAACAGCACATCAAAAACTTTAATTGTGAAATACTTGGTATATTATATGTCACGTTATATTATATTGCAGTTTTCAACACATCCTCTACCCCAGTCAAAAAATCCTAGAGGAATGTGAATGTGATTCACTTTGGGAATTTTATACTTTAAGACAGACATTTTCATGACTGTTTCACACTTAGGTACAGTTTTAAAAAGTGCACTTTGTAATATTGTCAAGTTTTATTAGTATATTATCATGCTTTAAAGAAGTACACTTTAATGTGCAAGAAGAACATTGTAGTGTGTTATTTGATGTTACCAAAATGTATTTTAAATGTACGAATTTACAAGTTCATCATTACACATATACAAATATATTCAAATACATTCATACATATTCTGAAAAAAGTGTTATTAATTAAGTATTGAATGTGCACTTGTAATGTACTTAAAATCTTAAAAGTATATTTTGATAAACTGTACAGATAACATAATATTAATGAAATAAAAGGCCACTTAAGTGACTTAAAGAGAGAAACTTCCATAACTAATTTTCTGAAAACACTTAAGTACGCTTTTAAATAGTGACCTTTGTAATAATGTCAAATTAAAACTTTTGGTTACATTTTATTTTAAGGTGTCCTTGTTACAGTGTAATTATACATTTAAGTACTGAGTAATATTAATTAACTACATGCACTTACTATATGGTTTTAGGGTTAGGATAATTGTTTGGCTTAGGGTTACTTGCATGCAATTATGCATAATTTATTGTTATCATAATAGCAAGTACATGTAACAAGAACACCTTAAATAAAGTGTTACCGAAATTTTACTTTAAAATACATTTTAAATAAATATGTTCTAATAATAATTATAATAATGACTAACATACTAAAACACATGTAAAGAACTTTATTATAATTTTAACGGTGGTGTGTAATTTGTTATCGCATTTAAATGTATTATATTTTAAATGTATTAAAATAGATTTAAATACATTACATACAGGTTTCAATAGGAATGACATTAAAGTATATTTTAGTTTATCATAAATGCTTGTCAGTACATTCAGCAGCACTTTAACCAGATTTCTTAGACACCATAAAGTCCAACATAAAAAGTTAGTTCACCCAACAATGAAAATTAGCCAACAAATTACTCACCCTCAAGTCATCCTAGGTGTATATGACTTTCTTCTTTCAGAAGAATCCAGTTGGAGTTACATAAAAAATGGTCTTTGATCTTTCAAGCTGTTTAATGGCACTCAGCGGGTGTTGCATGCATCAGTCCAAAAGAAGTTAAATAAAAAGCGCCCATCCATAAAAAAAGTGTCTCACACGGCTCCGGGGGTGAACAAAGGCCTTCTGTAGCGAATCGATGCATTTTTGTAAGAAAAAATATCCATATTCAAAACATAATAATCACTTTAATGTAGCTTGCGCCAACAGTTGCACACAGAAGCAGTTCCGGGCGGATGACGTATGAGGTCAGTGCTGCGCATGCGCCGGTGAGTCTCATGAAAACCAACGTTTGTTAACAGGAGCAAAGGAAGCAATCCGCTCGGAGATGCTTCCGTGTAGGACTGTTGGCGCAAGCTACATTAAAGGGATTATTAAGTTTTGAATATGGATATTTTTGTTTCAAAAACGCATCGATTCGCTACAGAAGGCCTTTGTTCACCCCCCGGAGCCGTGTGAGATGCTTTTTTTTAATGGATGGGCGCTTTTTATTTAACTTCTTTCTGACTGATGCATGCAACACCCGCTGAGTGGCATTAAACAGCTTGAAAGATCAAAGACAATTTTTAATATAACTCCGACTGGATTCTTCTGAAAGAAGAAAGTCATATACACCCAGGATGACGTGAGGGTGAGTAATTTGTGGGCTAATTTTCATTTTTGGGTGAACTAACCCTCTAAGTGAATTAAATATTAATTGAAACTGTAATAGTTTTATTTAATTGCAATTAATATGCAATCAAGTGTCCAAAACCATTACATTCAGTTCATACATATATAAGTATATTAGCAATTAAGTATCCTTTTAAGTATGCTAAAGTGTACTCCTTTTTCGCAAGGCAGCGTTTTTACTGAAATGCTGTGTGCTTCAATGCATAACTGTAGTTCATTGTCTCATCAATGATTGTTGTGCATTGTGTATCTTTACGTTGTGTATGAATTCCCCCGTGTGTTTTGCTGAGGCTCATATGTACGTGTGTGCGTGTTTATATATGTGTGTGTAGCTGTGGACATAGACGCTGCAGGGTTAGATCCGGAGGAGAGTGACCCTCCTCTCCATCAGCGTTCACCCAAAGCCAGCCCAAACACAGTAATATCCCCTTTAGCCCGTGAGAAACGAATGCCTTTCTTTAAGAAGGTAAAGGACGCTCCCTCGCTCTGCATCTGTCCGTCACAGCAGCATCGCGCAGAGCCTGTTTCGCTTGTCTTCGTCTGAATGCCCATGCCAGCTTACTCCACTCACTCTTTCCCTTCTCTCTCCCTGTCTTGTCTTTGTTCCTCTGTATCCCAATCTTTCACACTCCCTTGGTCTTTTCTTTTTGTCTGTTTCCCTTCTTCCTTTCTTCAGCTAAGCAGAGGCATAAGTCGGTAAGTCGGGCCTCACAGAGAGCCATGTGGTCAATGGCCGCTCATTCCTGTTATGCAGTACTTAAGAGTTTATTAATTATAGCTTATTGTTATAACAGGATGGAATCTGCTCAGTGACGGATTTACATGATAGTTTTAATCTGAAGATAATTTTGATACACTGTATATACACTAGTAAAAGTGTGGAAGAATTCAGGTTTTTTAATGTTTTTGAAAGAAGTCTCTTCTGCTCACCAAGGCTGCATTTAATTGATCAAAAATACAGTAAAAACTGTAATATTGTGAAATATTATTACAATTTTAAAACAAACGCTTGCTATGTGAATATATGTTAAAATGTAATTTATTCCTGTGATGCGCAGCTGTATTTTCAGCATCATTCCTCCAGTCTTCAGTGTCACATGATCTTCAGAAATCATTCTAATATGCTGATCTGCTGCTCAAGAAATATTTCTTACTATTATCAATGTTGAAAACAGCTATGCTGCTTTGTATTTTTATGAAAACCATGATTCAGCATGGATGCTTTAAAGTAATCAAAAGTGAAAGTAATGACATTTATAATGTTACACAAGATTTCAAATAAATGCTGTTCTTTTGAACTTTCTATTCATCCTGGAAAAATGAATCTTTAAAGAATTTTAGAATTTTAAGCAGCAAAATCTGCTTTCAGCATTAGTAATAATACAAACCATTATTAATAATTTAGCACCGATAATAACTCAGCAGCAAATCAGCATATTAAAATGATTTCTGAAGGATCATGTGACACTGAAGGCTGGAGTAATGATGCGGAAAATTCAGCTTTGCATCACAGAAATAAATTATATTTGGAAAATATAATAACATATCAAGCATTTTCCATATGCTGTTTTTACTGTATTTTTAGTCAAATAATTGCAGACTTGGTAAGCTAAGACTTTTTTGAAAAACATTTTAAAAACTTGACTAATAGTGTATCTATAGAACAGAATATAATGTTTTACAGTGAAACCAACTTATACCACAAAACATCTCTAAAAGTGCGCTCACATTTACCATTGCTTGGCAAAGTTTCACAGATGATTTCAATAGGAATCCATGCTATCGAGAGTTTCGCGAAAAGTTCCACACACAGACTTGCTCAACAGAAAACTGCTTTTTTTTATAACGTGACTTTTGAAGCAATCAAAAACTAACAAAAGAGCAACACTATGCAAGTGCAAATGACAAGTCTCGGTTAGCATAACGCAGTACAGTACACGTTGCAAGGTATTTATATATACAGTGGGGGAAAAAAGTATTTAGTCAGCCACCAATTGTGCAAGTTCTCCCACTTAAAAAGATGAGAGAGGCCTGT